GCTTGAAAATTTTATAGCGCTATTCTTATGAATCATCTATGTGAAATCACTAAAAATATCGCTCATTTTATTTAGTGCACTTTGAAAACAAGTGGTCTTATAATTATGCACCGCACTGTATCATAATCGAGAAAAATAGTAGTCTGTCTTTTCCAGACGCTCACTGTGCGAGGAAAGAAGTCTTTTGAAACATTGTGGGATCATTGATGAATACAAAAGAAATTGAAAGTATAGATACTCATAGCACAGCTAGGAATAAACCGTTTTTAATGTATGCAATAACTTAACTACCGTTCTCTTTGAGGGTGTGGATGTGGGATGTGGGTGTAGGTGTGCGCGGGTGGGGTAGAGTGTGGGTATGAATTGAGAGAACACCCATATCCACACCCACACCCACACCCTTCAGATGAAGATGATTCGATTTCTATCAATAGTGAATCGGATATTGAAAGTTCAGATGATTCATATCAAAATAACTTTGAAGTTGGTGTTGATGTACATCTCAGTGAAAGTTCTGATTTATCATTGCCATAACCTGATCCACGTATTTGTTTAGTTGTCGAGATCAACGTACAAGATGTTGCACACATTAAATATGCACCGACCACTAATCACTGAATTATTTCCAAACAAAACAACAACAACGTTTAAATGTATTAGAATTGACAAGTGATTGTTGGTATATAATTGAATTATTAATTAACATATTGAAGCCGATCTATCGACCTACTAAAGCAATTAGTGGTAGTGATTATCCGACGATAGGAATTACATTATTTATTTTTCGTCGTCTTGAAAAAGATTTCTTATCCAACAGATGATCCATTATTTAATAATATGAAAGAATGTTTATTAAGTAAAATGATTTATTATAATATGGTAAAAGATCCATCACAAACAAAAACAATTATGATGAGCGGCTTAGAATATTATTGACATATTTTTAATGATGTAAGTAAACGGTTGTTTTTAATTCCAGTTTTATGGATACGTCGACCCTTATGGTATATCAGTTATGACAAATAATAAAATTAACAAAATAGAAAATGAAATAAAATATATAATTTGTCAACAACGTCTTCAAATACAAATGGATCATCAACAACAGAAAAAGAGGAAAAAATCATTACTCAATTATTTTCTTGATTCATTAGCTGATGAAGATACTGAACAGATCAAAAAAACAATCTTCAACGTCAAATAAGATATTAAATGATGAATTTAAAACTTACAAAAAAATTAGACGGCCACTTTATATCAACATCAACTGTTTTTGTATCATTCACTTCAATTTTGAAAGGAAAACAAATTGTTACTGCCTAATTTGGCGTCACTCGCACAAAAATATTTAGCTTCTCCAAGTACAAATACAAAATCTGAATCAGCATTTAGCATATCTGCATATTATGACCGTAAACAACGAGCTCGACTTTCTTCAGAAAATCTTGGTTTTTCCGTTTGTCTCAATGATAAACTATCAAATGAAAATAAATAGGAACTGTATAAATATTTTATGCATTAAAGAAGTTCTAGTTTTTGGTTTTTGAACGATGTTTTTTTTGTTATCTTTTTCATATTGAATATTTTGTATCACAAATAAATAAAATTAATATAGTTGACTACAATGTCATAGAGGACCTGTTTTTTTATCTCTTGAGGTTATTCAAGCTTCATTAGTTCTCTATGCGTATGTGCAAGACTGAACGTAAAGTGTTTGTACATGCATATCTCATCTGCAATACGAAAAATTGATCTCTATAATTTCTTCTCGTTGTTAGTTTTCACATATTTTTTTAACTAAATCTTGTTTTCAAGGATAATATATATATAAGTTAGATAACATCTAACTTTATTTCATAGAAATCTCTTGAAAATCTTATACAATATATTGAAAAGAAAAAGAACAATTCTTTTATCTTATATACAGAAGTTAACATGCTACTCTAATCATTCAATAAATATATAGATCTGAAAACAAAAAAATCTCTTTACTGGATGATTTAATTACACACTACATAACATTAGTCAGCCAAAAAGCTTTTTTTAGAATAACTTTCAGAGAGATACAATGCAATTCATTATGTTTTCGATAGGACACAGTATTATTTATGTACTATAGATAACGGTATTCAGTACAAAAATTGTACTCAATTTAGATAAATTTTCACTTACAGTCATTCCATAACATGCAGATGATCAAGACTTATTTAATCTTGATTAACGATCTCTCTTGTTTCTTTCCATCACATTGTAACTGGATTGTCTGGAAGACAATTATGGTGGCAAAGGTTGCTCTTTATGATGTATTTCTATTAGCTCTACCTTGCAATATAGGAATCCCAATCCGAACTCCGGACTCGAGTTCGGATTTGCTGCATACCTAGTTATATGAATAATAAAAAATGAATAAAACTGATGACGTCTTTGTTGTTATTTTTCGTCCTTGCCAAACAAAAGCAGACAGAGAAAACATAAGAGGTAGGGTATCGAATGCATCTATTTTGAAATGATTCTTATCTAGATAAAGAAAAAGAAATGTTGGAAATAATAACCATAAACATTAAATGACGTTGCTCAATTTGTTTTCTTTCCCACTGTTGTTGAGTAGAAACGAAAAAAAACCCAACATCGAATATATAAATAGTAAACATAATTGCCTATCACCAAAACACAGCCAACATAGCAACAAATATGAGCCGCCAACGAAGACAACGCTTGGCGGAAAATTATTTGGTCATCTGGGTCGACAGCAGCATCGACATGAACAATCGAGATTGTCAACACACGCTCACACAATTGCGTGATGTTGTCAATCAAGTCAACACATGTACCACGGCTGAGGAATGTATCCAAAGCCTCCAAGAAAACAGCGAGGAGACCTCATTTGTGATCTCCTCCGGTGCACTGGGACACCACCTTGTTCCAGATATTCATGGCATGCCAAAATTGGATGCCATATACATCTTCTGTGGCAATAAACAACGCCACCAAGCTTGGGCCAGAAATTGGGCAAAAATCAAGGGTGTCCACACCTCAATCAAGTCCATCTGCAAGAAACTGGAAGTGGCCGTCAAGAAATGCAATCAAGACCAAGTCACAGTCAGTATCATCAGCACAAATGAAGGTAGTTCTAGCAAAGATCTTAATCAGCTAGAACCATCTTTTATGTACACGCAAATATTCAAGGAAATTCTCCTTGACATGAAACATGATCAAAAGGCTGTTAAAGATTTGGTGGTATTTTGTCAAGAACAATATCATGACAACCAGAAAGAACTCAAGCTTATTCAAGAATTTGGCCGCAGCTATAATCCAACATCAGCTCTATGGTGGTATACAAGGCAGTGTTTCACGTACAACATGCTCAATCGAGCTCTGCGAACTCTGGATGGAGACATCATCATCCGCATGGGTTTCTTCCTGTGCGATGTACACTGCCAAATTGAACAATTACACGAGAAGCAGGTCAGTGGATACCACGGGAAGATTTTTACAGTCTTTCGGGGTCAAGGACTACCGAAAGCAGCCTTAGAAAAGCTCGCCAACAGCAAAGGCGGGCTTGTTTCTTTTAATAATTTCTTATCCACCAGTAAAACTCGAGAGGTCTCACTTGGCTTCGCCAAAGACGCCTTGGGAACAAGCGATCTGGTCGGGGTTCTCTTCATAATGACCATTGATCCCACAGTATCATCAACTCCATTCGCCTCCATCCGGGAGGTTAGTTACTTCCAGGCAGAAGAGGAAATTCTCTTTTTCATGCACAGCGTTTTTCGAATTGGCGACGTTCGAAAAATCGACAACAAAAATCCACTTTATGAAGTGGACCTTAAACTTACGTCTGATGACGACGAACAACTTCGTCAATTAACTGATTATATACGAGGGGAAGTCGACGACAGTGGATGGTATCGAATGGGTAAATTACTGCTCCAAATTGGTCAATTCAACAAGGCTGAAGAACTGTATAACGCACTACTCGAACAGGCATCTGACGACAGTGATAGATCACATATCTATCATATGCTTGGAATGATGAAAAACGACCAAGGACAATACACAGAAGCGGCTTCGTTTTACGAAAAGTCTCTCGAGGTCAAACGAAAAACACTTCCGGAAGATCATCCTTCACTAGCTCCTACGTACAGTAACATCGGTCAAGTGTATAACAACATGGGTGACTACTCGAAAGCACTTGAATTTTACGAAAAGTCACTTAAAATCGAAGAAATAGCTCTGCCTCCAAATCATCCCTCATTGGCTACTTCTTACAGTAACATCGGTCAAGTGTATAACGCCATGGGTGACTACTCGAAAGCACTTGAATTTTACGAAAAATCCCATAAAATCTACGAAATAGCTCTGCCTCCAAATCATCCCGATTTGGCTACTTCTTACGGTAACATCGGTCAAGTGTATAACGCCATGGGTGACTACTCGAAAGCACTTGAATTTTACGAAAAATCCCATAAAATCTACGAAATAGCTCTGCCTCCGAATCATCCAAATTTGGCTACTTCATACAGTAACATCGGTCAAGTGTATAACAACATGGGTGACTACTCGAAAGCAGTTGAATTTTACGAAAAATCACATAAAATCGACGAAATAGCTCTGCCTCCAAATCATCCCGATTTGGCTACTTCTTACAGTAACATCGGTCAAGTGTATAACGATATGGGTGACTACTCGAAAGCACTTGAATTTTACGAAAAATCACATAAAATCTACGAAATAGCTCTGCCTCCAAATCATCCCGATTTGGCTACTTCTTACAGTAACATCGGTCAAGTGTATAACGATATGGGTGACTACTCGAAAGCACTTGAATTTTACGAAAAAGATCTCGAAATCACAAAAATAGCTCTGCCTCCAAATCATCCCGATTTGGCTACTTCATACAGTAACATCGGTCAAGTGTATAACAACATGGGTGACTACTCGAAAGCACTTGAATTTTACGAAAAATCACATAAAATCTACGAAAAAGCTCTGCCTCCAAATCATCCCTCATTGGCTGGAAGTCACTTGAATTATGCAGCATGTTACGAGCGAATGGGTGATTACACGGCAGCTCTTAAGGCTCTTCAAAGTGCTTTTAAAATTCAGCAGAAAACATTTGAAGAAGGTAATCCAGCTTTTGCTTCTACATACAGCTGGTTTGCAAGAGTATATCGCGGTATGAAAGACTACTCAAAGGCACTTGATTATTTTGAGAAGTGTCTCTCAATAGATCAAAAAACACTGCCTGAGAGACATCCGTATTTCGGTATATCATACAGTAATATAGGTGATGTTCATCGATTAATGAGTGATTATGAAAAGGCACTTTCATTTCATCGAAAAGCATTAAATATTCAAGAGAATGTTCAATGTAATCCTCTGGAATGTGCCACAACATACGTAAATTTAGGTGAAACTTATCGACAAATGAAAGATTACTCAACGGCATTAACATATTTTCAAAAAGGCTTAGAAATACGTGAGAAGAAATTACCAAAAGATCATCCTGATTTAGCTGTTGTATATCACAATATGGGAAAATTATATTTATCTACTCGAAAATATAGTATGGCAATGAAACATGTTAAACAAGTACTAGAAATTGCTCAAGAAAAATTACTTTCAACTCATCCACATTTGCTGGAATATAAAGAAACATTTGAAAAAATTCGAAAGAAAATGTAATTGTTCGTTTTTTTTTGTGCTCAATAAATTGATTTGCTACTCATATTCTTTTTTTTGGCTTTCGCGCGCGCGCGACAAGGTAGAGATCCCTTGTGCAGATTTGCCATAGGTACTACACTGCTTCGCTATGGCAATTTTCTCTACTCCTATTGAATCAGACAACATAGCCATCTGACCCATACTCATAATATTTATGACTCATCTCATCTCATCTCAAAACGAGTACTCACTCTCAACTCCATATGTAGAAAAAAAAAATTTTTTTATCGTACCTCTCAATGATATATGTTATCGAAGCTCATCTAGAAAAAAAAAAGTAATTTTTAAAATATAAATTGAATTTATTTACCTCATATTTAATATAATATATCATTAATATTGTATATAATATAATAATAATAATAATCCCGGGTATATAAATAACATTGTAATGCATCATAATATAATACAACTCGAGTGTTTTGTATGATGATAAAACGTACATGTTTTTATATACTCTGAGATGAATTGATTGATATTCAAAAATATTGATTGAATTATTATCAATTATTCTGTACACATAACATAACATAATTGATTTAATGATCAATTTGTATGTTTGTGTTTCAATATGATTTCATTTTGATCAATAAATGAAAAGATATTATTCATCTTAATATAACGATCTACGAAAAATGAATTCATCTCTAAACAAATAAGTATTCTATTTGAAACGATTGGTTCAATTTTTCGAATATTCATCATTATATAAAGTATTAGTACTTTTTTGACACAATTCTGTTTTAGATTCTATGAGTATAGGGTGTGATTTTGTGTGTCGATCTCTGCCTGAGCCTCGCTGCATGTCTTCTTTTTTGTTACACATCCATATCCTATTCGAAAGAGTTCATTTTTA